AAACCTACTACAAAAATGATGATTTCGTGCTTTAGGTTGAGATTATGGTGCACGTAATCTTCCAACTACTCGAGCAATTGGTAAAATTGTAAAGAAATGTAAAGGCGCTAGATCGATTAGAGATATTGTTAGGCTTGTGCATCATCGGTTTGCTAGTTCCACCTCAAATATCGCAGCTCACACAACAACTGCAGCCACAACGCCGTACATACCTCGATTGGGTGCTGGAACAATAAGCAGTGGACGGCGAATTTTCGAACAAAATTTTTTTCAGTGTCAAGACACACTTCTCACTCGGAGGATACGTGAATAAGCAAAATTGTCGCCTATTGGGAATCCTCAAATAATCAGGTGTACAACTGCTTCCGCCGTTTTCCGATAGGTGGCTGTACCTGCTGAGGCTGGTTGAAATACATAGATGATAATGCCTTTAAAGTGAGTGTGGACAGTGCCTAACGAATTGTCATCGCCGTTTCATCGAATGCTCTCAGAAACTTGCGGTGCTGCTGCTCTGAGTGAAAGAACTTGTCGGGAGTGGTTTCAACGTTTTAGTAATGGTGATTCCGATGTCGAAGACAAACATGGTGGTGGAAGAGAAAAAACCTTCAAAGATTTACTACGAGCTCTTAAGGCCGGGTGAAACCATCACAGGAGATCGCTACCGAACGCAACTGATGCGCCTTAGTCGCGCGCTAAAAGAAAAGCGGCCACAATATCAAGAGCGACATGACAAAGTCATCCTCCAACACGACAATGCTCGGCCTCACGTCGCAAAAGTGGTCAAAAAGTACCTGGAAACGCTGAAATGGGAAGTCTTGCCCCACCCGCCGTATTCCCCAGATGTCGCCCCTTCTGACTTCCACCTATTCCGTTCGATGGCACACGGCCTGGCAGATCAACATTTTCAATCCTTCGAAGAATTGGAAAAATGGATTGCTTCATGGATAGCGTCAAAAGAGGACTCCTTTTTTCGAGCCGGGATCCAAAAATTGCCGCAAAAGATGGGAGAAAGTTGTCGCTAGCGAAGGACAATACTTTGAATAATAAAGCGGTAAGCACTTTTTCGCAATGAAGCTTTTAATTTTGGAAAAAAACGGCGGAATCAAAGTTGTACACCTGATAAAAAAATTATAATAATTATTTGAAATTTTATTTACATTTTTTTCGAAACCGCAAAATTGATAACCCTGTAAAATTATTTTTTATGATTTTTTTAACCTTCCTACTTACTTACATATAATAACCTAGTAAATAGACAATATTATGTTATTACGTGCATACACGCATACATATATAAAATACTTATGTGTATTTATTAACGGTTACTTCGCTATAAACACTCATTAAAATTACTTCCCATGCATATTTCCTTGCGCAGTCTGAATTATAAATATTTAAACGGAAAACAAAGACTTGACTGACAACACTAGAATTATGTACACATATGAATGTTTGTAAATACATGCATACATACATACATATGTGCAGCAGTTGTATGAGCATAGTAGAAAACAAAGCAAACACAGGTAACCTCGTACATGTATGTATGTACTTATGTATTGAAGGTATTTACTCGTATAAAAACAATTGTATGAATGTATGTGTGTTTGTTTGTTTAGTGTATCTTACTTGCACGTTACTCCAAGTTCCTTCAAGTCAGTATCCGTCACCCACAAAATCACTGTGAATGACCTGTACCTACGCATACGCCGCATACATACATATGTACATGCAGTTACTTATGCATATAAAAGGCGTTGAACAAAAATAAAATCGTCAATACAGAACGCGATTAAATATACGTACATATTATATGTATGCAGCAATGATCGATGGATGAGGGCGAGAGCTCTCTTACTTTTAGGTGGCCAAATTGTAAATTTTATTAAAATCGGACAACAAATTTGAAGCGAAATTGGAGAACTAAAAGTGTGATGGCTCATTACAAGCAAAAAAGAAAATTCCGTTCTATATATGTATGTATACAAATATTCTTTCCAGAAATTTTAAAATAACGCATTTATTTTGAAATTATTGTTTTTAGTTTTATTTATTTTTTTTAATATAGATCTTTTAATTAAAACCTGCCGCCAATTGCAAATACCAAGTCCTTCTTTATCTGGTTCTGATTCCACAGGCGGGTACTGCATCAAAAACCTTTAAAGCTGGAGTTTTCTTATCCATTTGAACCACATGACCAGCTGCTAGGTAGCGTTGTCCCTTGATTCGCTGAGCTGTGTGAATGTCACCGTATATCTCGTTCAGCTCATTGTGGCAACGGCTGCTGGAATTCGCAAATACAGAACCATAAATCTTATACAAAAACTCCCTCTCAAAAACTCTCAACTACGACCCCTCAGCAGATCGAGAACGATGAGCACTTGTAGAGTTTGGTCTTTGTTCGTCGAGAGAGGACTTTAAGTTTCAATTGCTCACACAAACCAGAAGCTGAAGATAGACATAGTTATCTACGGGATCAAAGTTATGACAGTCAACAGCACTCGCCCACTACCAAACCTATACGCTCCGCTTCTTAATCCAGTCTGAAGCAAGTAGAACTTACTGTGATAGAGGACCTTATATGAGATATTACGAATGCTTATACCACAATAATTGGCGCCGACTGTGCGATCGCCCTTTTTGTGGATTGGGCAGAGCATACTTAGGTTCCATATTTTACAAAGCAGCTGATACAACGCCGTATTTGAATGCATCGGCCCTCACCACTGTGTTATTTTTTAAACGAACTTCTTCATAGCCGCACAGTGAAACATTTGTTCGATCGTCATCGATTGGGATTTCGGTTTCACCATCTCCGGATGTTTCATTTTCACTGCAATTCAGCCGGTTGGACAAGTATTTTCTACATAAATTCAGCATATTCTGGGCACACGCTACTAGATCACCTCTCTGTGTTCTACTCTAGTCTTGAAACCTTCTGTGAGTTTGCGTGCCCAAGCTCGACTTACTTTTGCATATTGGTTTATTATTGTTATTTTTTTTTTTTTTTGCCTGCACTTGTGTCTTGCTACCCCCCTGATCACTCGATATCTATTCCACCACTCACATGTAGGGGTAGATTTCGTTAATTATTTAAATAAATAAAATAAATTATTTGCATTTTGCTTGCAAAATTACTTGGCAACTCTTAAAACGTTCTAGCAAAAGACCGAGGAGGACACAAATATTTATTCCGTTATTTCGTATGCTTTGTTCTTGACGGATCACAAGAAAAACAAAAACACAAAAATTTATAAATAGCTAAGTACCTATGTATGTACGTGTATGCTATGTATAGCTGAGTATAGGAAATATTGTTGCAAAAGAAATACACAAAATGTCAAAAAAAAATATTAAAATACTCAAACAAACTAGGAAGAGGAAGAGACCCCATTTAATCATGTTTAAAAGGCATTTACTTTAAAATATAAATTATATTTATTTATTTTATTTTTTAATAATTATTAATTTTTTAAATTTATTAGAACTTAAAAAATATTTACTACAATATAATTATTCCACATTACATACATTTTTTTAATGAAAATAAAGTTATTATTCAATGAACTTCCAAACACACATAAATATTTGTATCAAAAGCACGTTTTAGAAAAGAGGGCGGCAACGCACGCGATTAGTTTAAGAATTGCATGCAGAAAAATGATAATTTTACATACGTGTACATACATACTTATAACTATACCTGAATATGTTTGTTTATATGTATGTAGATAGATGTGATTTATTTAATGTTAAATAGCAGTGCATGTGCGTCAATATGTACTAAAGTTTATGCATAAATACATATTTACACTTGTAGATTTATATACATATACATACATACATACGAGTACATATGTAGTTATGTTTGCTGAGTTCAACAAAACTTGTGACTGGTAGGACAGTGTAAAACAATATTCATGTGCCTGTATATACATACATATGTAGGTATGCAGTTACGTATATACATATATATATATATATATATATATATATGTACGCTATCTAGGCGTGAGAATGTGCTTTCTTTTGCACATATGATTTTCATTTCATCGAAAATATTTGTTGGTTTCTTTAAATAAATTTTAGCGCAAATTTTCGAAAAACAACAAGTATAGTTTGCCGTCCTCACGTTAAAGTGAATATACAAGGCATATACAGACATACATACATATAAACATATGTAAATACTAGATATGAGTAATAGACTCTTATTAGATAAAGAAAAGGAACAAATTTAGAAATACAAAGAAAAAAACTTTGGAAATATTATCTCAAGCACATAATAAATGTTTGGAAACTTACTAACATTGATAACGTTCGTATACAATGTATGTACATACATATAAACCATATTATTATAGATAAAGCGTGCTAAGCGCGATCAGGCGGACGATAAATCAAAATGTAACGAATTTTACATGCCTTCGAAAAAATAAATAAAATAATAATTTTGTGTTAGTTTCTTTTTATTTCTATTTTTCCCCCTTTTTTTGTATTATCCTTATCTGTTTATTGCATTTGAGTTTTCTCATTTCATTGATTTATAAAATATATGAATCCTTTTATATACATACATATGTACATACATTCGTTAATACATTTGTATAAAATTTTGTACGAAATAATACATGCATTTGCACTCTTACATATATATATACATATGTATGTAATTTGTATAAGCTTATTTTTATACAATAGATATTGCATATGGCGCATCCGTCGTTTGCTTTATGGTAGGAACACAACCTTCCACTCTATTTTCATACATATGTACATATGCACATACATAATTCTTTTTATATAATACGTTCGCAGAAATTTCTTATGCATACACCTAAAGTTGCGAAAAGTATGTCACCCCTAACATTTACTAAATAATAAAAATAATTTTTGACCTTAACTGACCTTTTATTATTTAACTATTTAATAAAAATTATTTATATATAAAGTTAAAGCCATATGCATTTTGTTGTTGTTGATCAGCTGCGTAAACTCACCACGTTTCTTTTTCTTATCCTTTCGCTTACGCGGCTGCACGTCACCAGACATTTTTCACCGCTACCTTTTCCTTTTTCACTACCTTCAACACTTGTATTAAAAATCTCACACACTTTTCGGCACTTTATTTTAAAATTTCTATACAATTATATGCAGGTGTACTAAATTTACTAAATTTAATAATATCTATATATGTATATAAGTATGCTAGCAGTATAGCATATAGCTCTATATACTTATGGCTAAATTTTTCGATTAATGCTGTATAAATGAGGTATTTTTATCTTGACCGAAACCGCCGCGTTTTTCGCCCAATAACATAATACCAACACGGCTAATGATCTACTGGACCGGTATTGCTCCCGATTAGCTTTGGAGCCAAGCGTTGATCGTTAATGGGCACAGACAGCGAATTTATTTAAAAATAAAAATCACTACCTCAATTACAATGGCTCTCTTTTGTCCAATTCGCCGCATCCGGCGCAAGCGGCTAAATGTGTGTTTGTTTTGTAAAAACAATGTCAAGAACAGATGGTTTTGACAATTAAACGTATTGCCAAAGCATAAACTTTTCATAATAATTAGAAATTAGTAAAAATAAATTTTGGCAACATTTTTACAGTGAGACAATTTTTTTTCTATTTCTAGTCTTGAATTCAACTAAATTTTCAATTATTCAATAAACTTTTCATGATCTTCAATCAGCTAAATGGGGAAATCAGCTGTTTCGGTTGATGCCCAATATAAAAATTAAAGCAAAGTTAAGCAGTTTTCTTCAGATTAGACAATTATTTAATATAAGTTAGCTGTTAATAACCAATTTATTAACTATTATATAATATTTAATTGGATGATATATTAGCAAATTCTTTTATTCAAAATAAAATATTATAGTTGATAAATAAGGGGCAAAGAACGAAAGGGAGTGTGAAACAAATTCACCTTTTATCTGGGTAGAGGTGAGACAAAGGAAATGCCACTTTATACTACATGAAGGGAGGGAGGCGTACCAAATATATTTTCGAAAAACATCAACACTCATTTTAAATAGACTTTTTTGTACATTAAGTTAATAAATTAATTATTTTCATTAACTCTATACTAATTATGCAAACATATAGATTTATGAAAAAGTTTATGCTTTTAAAAGAACTTCGAATTTTCGAAATAGTTAAAATTTACAACAAACATCAAGTAATCCTAAAAAGATAGTGGCAAGACTAAAAGTCAGCTGCTCGTATGTCAAAACTGATATCCGAATATGTTACAAAACGAGTCCATATTAATTTAGTAAAGGAAAAACGTTAAAATTTATTAAACAAAATGTCCGTTTTACTAAGAGCTTTGCGTACACAAAAGAGTTCTCTGGTAAGCTGCAAATACGCTATAAAACTTAGTACGCAGTAATTGAAACAATCAAGTAGAAAACGTGTTTAAATACTGTCTCAAAGCCTTTCTATTAGCCTTGAGTGACTAACCTAATGTTGCAATTGGATTATTTGCGCTTTACTAAAGTAAACTTCCATTCTACTTCACAGCACCGGATGTATAGCTCCTCTAAGACGGGAAGTGAAGTTAAAACGATTCCTAAAAATCTACTCGAAGATAGTCAAACGGCGCACTTGCAAAGGGAGAATGGCGTAATCTTCGACAAAAAACCGTTTAAAATTCACTTAGAATCCAGTAAGTTTTTGAGCAAAATGTGTTTTTTTTTTATTGCTACTGTTTTTATTTTTTATTCTTGAAGATAAAACTTATAGTTGGTGCTTGTGTGGCAAATCGAAAAGTCAACCAATTTGCGATGGCATGCACAAAAATGAATTCTTAAAAATTAAACTGAGGTAAATGATGGTGAATAAGTATTTTACTGACTTACATACTTCTCATTACCTTACAGACCAGTGAGATTCCAAGTTGAAAAGACCGGTGACTACTGGTTATGCAACTGCAAGCAAACAAAACACCGTCCATTCTGTGATGGCACACACAAACAACCGGATATACAAGCCGCAGTCCGTTAAATGTATATCAACGGAGTTGTTACTCAAATACCTACCTTTTAGTTAATTAAAGTGTACGCATTTAAGTCATTTATTGTTTTCCTTATCAATAAAAATCTATTTTGTTAAATGCAAGCAACAAATTGATATATTTTCTGTTTTATATTTTGTATATGTTGTTAAATATTTTTTACTATTATTTAGTATGTATGTAGGTATATGTGATATTTCAATATTATTTCATATTGTTTATAAGTATATCATCAAATGAGCAATACATACAGATGTAGTAAAAGCAGATTGATTGCCTATATTTGGTTGAAGATTAATAATTTGTTATTTTATATTTTTAATTCCTATATAAGTACATATGTACGTAAATATGTATAAATATTAATTCAACGGTTTTCCTACTATTCATAACAAATATCAACACAATATTTACAAGCAATAATCCAACGTTTCCCATAACTTTAATACTGAAAACTTTTAAGGGACACTTTAAAAACAAATTGTGTTGAGTAGTGTTTATATGAAGAAACAAATGTGCTAGGATATATGTAGATACGCAGTTGATGCTATAGCTTTAAAATGTATACAAATATATATATATATGCACATACATAAGCGTATGTAGGCGTTGCAAAGCAAGTAAATTTGTATATATTTATATAAAATAGATTGGAGTATCTCCTCATTAATGTACGTCTTCAGCAAATTTATTGATAGTTCCCGAACAATTTATAATATCGTTGAAAAACCGAGTTTTCAGGCGTTTGTTAGTGTGCACATCATACGTAAAGTCCTTTGATATAATAATATACGAAGCGCGACATCAACTTTTGTATTCGAATGTAGTGATATGTAAACCTTATCGCTAAATCTTTAGAAATGTTACTGATTTGCTCTCTTCAAAAAATATAAAAGTCGTATATATGTACGTGTGCATGTGTATCCCTAAACAGTATCAACAGCTTCGTATATTCTCGATATTCCTTAGCAACGGTTTGGAATCTATGCGTTCCTCTATTTTAAATAATGAAATTTTAAGTCTTATTATTTTGGTTATACATATGTATGTATGTATGTATGGGCAAAAATTATATAGACAGTCCTATTCAATAACATTTATCCATGGTAATTACACTTTACCCAGCGTGACTACAATAAATACTTCTCTAATCCAATAATGATTCAGTAAATTACATTCACTACGCTAAATTCATACTAATTCTATATCTAGCAAACAATGTTCTATATATTCAATCATAGAAATCGGTGTAATCGTTGCATTTTTGTTTATATCGGTTCTCAACACATGAAAAACGGTATTGTATTAAAGTCTAACACAATGTGGTGGTCCATATTTAAGCAGTATTAGTAGATTTTTAAAGCTTCTTGAGCATCGTTTCTTTAGCGAAGAGCTCAAACCTAAAGCAAATACAAAAAGGAATGAAGTAAAGCGAGTTTTAATTTGACAATCGTTGGTAAGGTAAATATATTTGGAATTTGAGAATGTATTAAATTAATTAATTAGAGAGAAAACGAAAAAAAAATATATATAGAGAGAGTGTAACCACTGCCGGAGATAGTCGCCTTTTATAAGGAAACCTCAACATGCTACCTCGTTGCAGCAATTAGACTCAACGATTTTTTCTAACCATTTTCCAACCATGTTTCTTAACAATTTGCTACATGGAAAATCAGTAATGTCAGCCACACTTATCACAATTTCACCAATTGACTGCAGAAAAGTAGTCTCAGTGTATAAATAGCTAAATCAATCTATTGTTGCATGTGCTCTTCTTTAAACCCGACTGGGATGACAGTTTCTATAGACTCTGTTTGAGCTACCGAATGTGCTTTTATACGATTTACAGCCGCCTCTTTGAATCTCGTCGAAGAGAATTTAAGAAATATCTTAGTTTAATATCTCCAGTTTAAATGAAAATAAGTGTCACTATTGAAAATTTGTCATACTTACAAAATTAAAATTACATATAAATATATTTGCTTTCCCTTTACTTTCCAACATGTAATGGGCTCCTTCAACGAAACTCATACGGGGAGAAGGCTCCTTAAGGATTTAACACAAGAAAGGCAAAGGCGCTATAAGGATTCACCGCCTAAAGGGAATAAATGCCTTATACCCCAATTACTGTTATAAATAGAGTAAAATGCATTCCACCACAAAAAGGTATAAACATATTTCAATTATTCAATGCCCAACTCTCCCCGAAATACTATTGTATGTCTAAGAAAGCGAATTTGATTGACTTAGCAGTTCTGAAACTTAAGAAATTGAATTTTAAAATCGATACAGCATGTGAAATCAAGACTTATATTTAATGCAAATGACTATTTTAGTTTTAGCAAATAAGTTTTTCGAAAAAATTCAGCTTTTAAACAAATTAAATGTATTTAATTTAAACTAATTTACAAATTTAATCATAAAAAGCTAAAAGTTTTGAAAACGAATATTTTTTTTTAATTAACATTATAGCACAAATTAAAAAAAGAATAAATGCAGTGCTTGTGTGGGAGAGCGAACTAAAGGTGATATGCAAGTTTGTTGAACGCGATTTAGCAATAAATTAATGAAAAAAGCAAAAAAAAAAAAAACACAACTTTAAAATAAATATTCTCTTCGATCTACTGCTGTCATTTTGAACTGGTGTACTAATAGCAAATCTACGTAATACGCAAAAAACAAAGCAAATAAAATTAGTAGTCATACAGCGATTTGGGAAATATTAAAAAATTTAAGTATTTTATAACGTAAATTAATGTCGCTTTCGATATCGGCTGAGTGCAACGTAAAAATCCATATAACAGAATATTGAATCAAATTGTTTTATTTTTTATTCAAGCATTAATAATTCACAAGAGAAAAATATTTTAAAACGCCAATCACTAAGTTTTTTTTTTCCTTTTTCATATGAAGACAATTCTACTTTTGTGTTTGCATAAACTCAGCATAAAATGTAATGAAATTTTAATCCACTTACGCTTTCTATGTGCGAAATGTTAATAATTATTTAAAAAAAAAAAAAGTACTTTGTCATTATTTATTATACGCATACAACTTCTGCCCCCCTCTAACACTAGTGTTGTATATATCTCAGTCAATCAGTCAAACGTTAGTTGTCGCCTCAACTAATTATATACTACTCTGAGTACTTGTAAAATTATATAATTTTAATGCATTCTTTTTTAAATTTATTATCAACGTTTTATGTTCAAACATTAATTTCCTTTATTTTCGTTAGATTAGATTGTGTTCGTATTTGTTATATTTTAGATTATCGTAATTTAAGCAATTTGTTCAGTATTATTTTTTTTTTTAGTTTATAGATACTCCTTCTTCTTCCTTATGTTTGATTCTTCAGTTTTATATTTTATGTTATAGCCGTAGCCGTAACTTGCCATTCTAAATTGTCATTGAGTACATCAATATTTTCAACATTTATCGATCATGTTTAACATAGTTTATTATGCTTAAATTCTTGTTTTAATTTTTATAAACATTTGTTTTTTGTTTTTTTTTTTTTTTTTTTTTTTTTTTTTTTTTTNGTTTTGCTCAGTTTCTGTTTATTTGCAGTTCTTTAATTAATCCTCCTTGTGAGTTGTTGCTTTTAATACTCCTCATCCTCGGGCGGAATTTCATCCGGAGGCGCAAAACCATCCTGTCAGTGGTGTGTAATTTGTGGTTGTGTTGTTTTTGTTGATTGTTAAAAGGTCACAGGTTATGCATGAATGTTATGTCAACGCACACGCACAAACAAATTAAGACACATTTATTCAGTGATTGGTGCGCATTTCGGAGCAGTGCAAGCACACAACATACAAACATTTACACGGTGCGAGATGAATGATGAATTATTTCGGGTTGATCCAATTTTTTTTTTTTTTTTTTTTTTTTTGAAATTGCAGTTTTTGAACGTTGTTGGGGAGGATGGATTTCGGGCGTGTCAATATTATGCATGAAATGATATTTTCAAAATATTTTCAATATTGGCCAATTAACAGCGTACCATGGTGTGTGTTTGTTGTTGTTTTTTGTGTGTTGATGATAAAAAAGAAAGAGAAAAAAAAGGAAAAGTAAAGTTATAGAATAATCAAATAAACAACAGATAGTCATTGGCGGTTAAAATGGTTTGCCAAATGGTGTTAGTATTTTATTATAATATTAATATTTCTTAATAAATAATGCCAATTCACCACGAAAACAACTAATAGCGCCAAAACAATGTGGAGACCAATTATTAATTAGTAGCCGCAATACAGTAAATATGTATTGGGTGTTGAATAATTTAATTCGGAAAAGACCTTTTTTCAGCGCGTTCACGCTAAAATAAGCATTTGCATTACTTAAAAACTATAAGTTAAGATTAAAATTATAGTTTTCTAAAAAAAAATTAAATATTCGAGAACACAAGCTTCTTTAATGTAACATTTATATAATTTTAAACGATATTAAAAAAATAAAAAATTAAGTATAAAAAAAAATTAAGTATTTTTTTAATATCAGATTACAGCTTGTTAATAACAAATTATTTAAATAAATAAAAAACTAAGCATTTTCATTAAAAAACAGAATGAAAATTAATTTTTTAAAGGTTAGTTAAAATAATTGCGGAAATAAAGTTAAACTTAAAAAAAAATTAAGCACAAAACACGGTTAGTTTTCAACATTTTTTTTTCATCTAATAATTGGCATTTGAATAAGAAATAAATAAATAAATAAATTAAGAATCAATTTTGTTGTGGGAGTCTTTCCGGGTTGAAAAAGAAATATACAAATGAAATTACACATACAGAAGTGTTGCGCTTTACCTCGGTCGCATACATAATATCCAAAATCTTCTGTATTAAAGGATGCGGGTCACCTTCTGCTGCTTCTTGGCAGCTATAAAAGAAAAGAAAAATAATTATTTTTTAAATATAGACAATGGCTGTACGCATTCATATGTATGTAAGTTGAGCGCAAGAGAAAAGTGTATAATTTGTATACCACTTAACCGAGTAGGAAAAACATACACTCCTCTTTTAATTTCTTAAGCTTTTCTCTTGAGCTCAAGAATAGAGCAACAATTTCAGCACACTTACAGTATTTCTATGTCACGCAATTTTGAGAAATAGAAATCTCGCTCCTTCTCCAAACCCTCCAAGTTCAAACGCATATCCATGACCTGAGTGGGGGAAAAGTAAAATAATTCGTTTATTTTTGCTTTTTATTGCTAAAAAAAAAAAAAGAAGAAAATAATCACTTGCCTGATTGGACAATTCCTCGATTTGTTGGTTCGACACTGCATTGGACGAGTCGCCAGACTTCTTAACTGCACCGGTGGTATTATTCACGGCAACTGATTTAGTTACGACTGGTGCTGCGGCGCGCGGTGGTACTTTAGAAACTGCGCAAGCGCGTATTTCGAAATTTGATGTAAAATAAGAAATAACAATATAAGTTTATGTACACAAAATTTTAAATAGTTAAGTAAACGGATATAATAACAGGGTAGATTTAACAAACGTGAAGCACGTATTTAACGCTTTTTATAGAAAAAAAAATTTTAAAAATATTTTTTTATTATGAATTCGTTATGTGAAAAGGTTCTTTTTGGAAAAGTTGTGCTTTCAATTTTGTTAAATGAAATGAAAACAAAAAATTAACAACAGCTCTTTCAAGTAAGCAACGAATAATGGTTGTTAGAGGAAATACATTAAAAATTAATTTTAAATTTCGTTTTATCGTTAAAAAATTCGCAAAAAAAAGAAGCTTAAATTCATTTTCCTTTTAACAAAAAAATGAATGAACATACATACTGTTATTTATGTATATAGCCGCATTAATTGATTTAGTAAAACTAAAATACATACATACATATATACAAAAACAATAAAATAAAGTGCAAACATATAAAGTAAAGAAAGCACATAGAAAGAGATGATAGTAGTGAATTTTCAGAGAATAATTAGAGGGTTTTTTTTTTTTGTTTTCTAATTTGATATTCAATTTTCATATATATAAAATTTTACACCACATACTGGGCCGTGTCGTCGATGTAGTCGATGGACGCGCAGGCGGTGCTACGGCCATTGGCTTGCGCGAGGATAACGATCCGCCACCAGTGCCAGGCAAAGCCTTCACCACACCCGAACCAAAACCCATTGGTGCACCGTCTCTAGCAGCGCTGGCATCATAATCTCGGCCATCGTAATTGGCATCGAAGAATTTTTTAAACCATTGCAAAAATTCAAAATTATCTTGAAAACGGCCCTTGATCAGTTTGTCAATTGGGATTATCTAAAAACAAATATGGAATATGGAATATACAAAAACAAAATAACCAAAGAAAGAAATATAGCAAAATAGCAAAAGAAAAGACATATCGACAAAGCCATAAAATGAAATGAAAAATCAAAAGTGAATGTGAAAAAAAATAAAAAATAAACGAAAATAATAATAAATATAAAAATAAAGAAATAATAATAATAAGAAAGTAAGAGATGTGTAATAATTATTTATAAGTACATACTATTTTTTTTTGCAAAGGACATACATAATTCAATTTTAAATTTAGTGATATAATGTACATATTTGTAAGTCTTATAAGAAGCAAAAGGAGTTATGTAGGGTAATTGTTGTAATTAAATGGCCAAATGGCTATGTTGTGCAGCAGATAGAGCTCTTAGGCATATTTTATGTAAATATTTAATAATTTACACTATTAATATTGAACATTTCAAATGGAGGCCTTAAAACTTTTATTTAAATAATCTCTACATAACTAATTTATAATGCAAAACTGATATCATCTTCGTAATAAGTATATGTCACAATTGGCTAGTTTAGATAAATGTTCCATCCAAGTATGTTTCTTTCATTTAAGTATATTGTACATGTACATATGTATATATATTTTCACGATTTTTACAAATTTACTCCATTTTATATTGTTTTACTACTTAAGTATTATTATTTTTATTTATTTATTTTTTTTTAGTTTTTATTTATTAATTTTTTATAATTATTTATTTTTTATAATTATTTATTTTTTATAATTTTTTTTTATATTTTATTATTTTTTTACCTTTTTATTATTATTTTTTTTTACTTTATTTTTATTATTATTTTTTACTTTATTTTTATTATTTTCTTTTTACTTTATTTTTATTATTTTCTTTTTACTTTATTTTTATTATTTTCTTTTTACTTTATTATTTTTTTTGTTACTTCATTTTTTACTTAATTATTATTTTTATATTATTATGATATAATTTTTACTTTTTTATTATTTTCTTTTTTACTTTATTATTATTTGTTTTCACTTTATTATTTTTCTTTTTTACTTTATTATTATTTTTTTTACTTTATTATTATTTTTTTTACTTTATTATTTTTTTTTTACTTTATTATTATTTTTTTACTTTATTATTTTTTTTACTTTATTATTATTTTTTTTACTATATTATTATTTTTTTCTATATTATTATTTTTTACTATATTATAATTTTTTTTCTACTTTATTATTATTATATTTTTTACTTTGTTATTATTTTTTTACTTTATTATTATTTTTTATACTTTATTATTTTTTTTTACTTTATTATTATTTTTTATAATTTATTATTTTTTTTTTACTTTGTTATTATTTTTTTTACTTTATTATTATTTTTTTACTTATTACTTTTCTACTTTATTATTATTATTTTTTTACTTTATTATAATTTTTTTGCTTTATTAAAATTTTTTTACTTTATTATAATTTTCTTGCTTTATTGATATTTTTTTACTTTATTATTATTATTTTACTCTATTTTTATTTTTTTTTTTACACTGTTATTTTTTGCTGTATCATTATTTTTTTATGGTGCAAGCAATTACGTTCATAACTCCTCCTGTACAAATCTAATGCATATATTTTATACATAATAATATAAATGTAATAAACTTAAAAACGAAAGTAAGAAAAGTATGAATATGTAAAAAATGAAAACTATAAAGAAGAGTAAAAAACCAAAAACAAGTGAAATAATCAACAAAACCACATTAACAATTTTTAATTTTTCAAGAATTGCGTATCTCATCTCACTAACCACTAAACAAAACACGCTAAATACAATACTTAAATACAAATGTTTCCATTTATGTGCAATCATATACAATGTACATACATATGCAGTATATATGACACTGGTAACGAAAAATCGTAAACATTTTATAGGGTCACCAGGTAAACCTGTTGGCATGAGGATGAGCGCACATACACATATGACTGTTTGTATGCATGTTATTTGAGGTGAGTTGCGTTCATAGTGAATAAACTTGTGTGTTGTATGTAGTTGTGTAGAGTGCTTGTTACAAATGCAATAAAAAATTAACTTGAATGTGAATTAAAATAAACAAAACAAGTGATACCGCACATTTTTTTCAAACAAAAAACAAAGAATTTTACCAACATACAGATGTACACGTGTAACTAACAAATAAACCGAGAAGAATGTAGTAGAGACATACTAAGTAAACCAAGCCCCCAGGGTGTTAGCTCAATGAATGCGCGAGGTCGACTTGAGCTCTACATATGCTAGGTCGGGTTGTGTCTACTTGAGCCGTCAGCAGCAACAAAGTTCAAGGCGACCTCTGCTCTCATTATGGCCAACTATGCAAAGAAAAAAAAAACTCTGATGACGCACATACATATGTGTGCGTGTATGCACAGGTGCTCAAGTGTATATTTTGGATGAGAGTTCATACTTAGTGCAGTGCAGTATAGTGCAGAGCGCTTAGAGACGCCAAAGGTAGTCACAGTTAAATGAAGATGTGTCATATTATTAGCTTGAATATGAAAATTTTGCGAATGATGCGCATTTTCTATTGCACAATGTTCATCTCAATATTCATTTAATTTATTGATTATCAAAAATCATCATCGTGCTTCACGTTTTACTTTTAATTGCTGCCCTTCTTTTTTTTGTTGTTGTTGTTGTTGAAGTGTAAGCAATTTAAAAGCGAAAGTTTCGTTTCTACATTTTCCTTTGCCTCCACTTTTCACACTTCACTAGCTAATTTTGAAAGAAAAACCAAAAAAAAAAGTTAATTGCTTCTTTCTAACTTATTTTGCCCACCTCCACCACGATCCGGCCTGCCGGTAGTGCGTTGTACTGCAGCCGGTGGTAGCGCATGTGTTCGATTTGGCATTTGTATGTGTCGCTTCTCGAGTAAATCGTTGCTACTGCCTCGGCCACTACTGCCGCCGCCGCCAACGCCGACGCCACCACCACCAATGCCATTGCCAAGTTTTACGCCGCTGCGTGCTATGAGTGGCTCATATTCGCGCCCATCGTAATTTGCATCGAAGAATTTTTTGAACCATTGCAAAAATTCAAAATTATCTTGGAAACGACCTTTAATCAACTTATCGACTGGTATAATCTACAACACATATTGACCAGAATTTAAATATGTATGTATATATATTTTTTATGCGTAATTATGTTGAATATTCTTGTGAAAAATGTGTTACAACTTTGCTTGTTGCTTGCTTGTGGGTACGTGAGTGCTCGAAATGTAGTGCGACAAAACTTTTCATAATAATTTAATATATTATTATCATGTTATCAGCGAAAAATAGCAATTTCTTAAAAATATTACAGCTTAAAATATAATAATAGGCGATCACGAGCGTTTTTTTTCGATTCGAAAGTCAATATTTTTGAGAACATCTTGCCTCTACTTTGTAATCAGTATAATTTTAAACGCAAAAATCTACAATACCATACGCTCATTTTATAAAATTTTGCTTGAATTTCGACAAGTAATCGAACTAAGCTGTATTGTTTACGCAAAGAACCTGTGTATGGTTCATTACATGGTCAAAGTAAAAATTTTAAGAGAACAAACTTATTTTGCTAATTTTCGTCAATCTTCTAAAACTAATTAGGGAATTGCTGCTTCTTAAAATCAATATATTCTCACGTGTCTGTTGTCATATTATTTCAAATAAACTTGGAAAATATTTATGAATTCATACACTAATGTATACTTAAAAAAGTCCTTACAATCATTTACGAAAAACAAAATTATTAAAAATGTGATAATAAACCAACATAAAATCAGATATCAAAGTATTTGGTTAAATTTACAATTGTAATATGCTTGAAATAAGGTCTTTTTAATCATTTTCACTTTTCCTTCGATTTCGGAGCCCATAAACGCTGATAGATAGCTAACATTTGCTTCAAACCTACATATATATAACAATAATACTTGTAAAACACAGATTTTGAAAAGTCTACATATAACAAAAACTTGCTCATAAAATATTTCCAATTCCTATACTTTTGAATTGTACATACAAAAGTAAAAATAACAAAAATATAGAAAAATGTTCTACAAAAAAATATAATACACTAATATTCTGTTTCTACATTAATTTGACTAACAAAGATAATGCATAAAGAACTAAGAAATAAAATTTAAAAAATTATAATTGAAAAACTAAATAATAAACACTACAATATATTTAATAAATCTAATACATAAAAATTATAAACAAATTTCGTTTCAATATTCATTTTGAATCTATTTTTACCTTATCAACTGCCATCTTTTTAAAAGATGCTTGCAAGATTTTAAAATTTTGAATATATTCATGTTCCAAATTTGTGCGAAACTTGACTCTTTTCATTGGCACCGAGCCGGGAAACAACATATCCATAAACTGGCAGTAAGCAGCGCCTAAAGTGAAGAAAGTCAAGCAAAAAAGATATGTAATAAAAACGATACAATTGCATTGGCTTACATACATACATATTATATATAAATATTTATGCATATTTAACCGCAACTACTAGTTACAACAATAACTCACCAGTGCAAAGCTCTTCAATTTTACCAAATTGCGCTTGCAGGCAATCGTTTACCCAAGCGAGCATATCATGTCTGGATAAATTTTCGGTAGTCACATTTGTGGAGTACACGTTGACTGCCATTGTTGTGGTATTGGTATAATTATTACTTTTTTTTCTGTATTATTTTTATTGTTGTCTTTTTTCTCTGTTTATTACTGCACACTCAATAGCTGACTATAGCGTATTCGTAGTAATAACTTATTGTGTCGTCTGCACTTCTCTGCTGTCCTTATTGACTGACTGACTCAATGAATAGACCAAGTGGTTGGCTGTTGTATAGTGTATTTAGTTGGTTAATCTTCTTGCCGTTGACGTTTTGACTCTCCCTACCAACAACAACAACAACAACAACTGCAAATAAAAATAAAACAAAAAAATAAGTATTATAGGCTACTAAATGATAGGCAAGAATACATATATGTATATAAAGAATATGTAATTTTTTATACCAAAAAAAAAAAACCAAAACCGCAATCGAAGGCAAAATAATGGTTTGGGTTGTAGTCGCTTTCCCCCCTCCCCCCCTTTTTTTTGTTGGAAACAACGAGAAGCAGAGCGAATAGTTGAACTAATTTGTATTATCGCCATGGCAAAGATCTTCATCAATGTAAGCGATTTAAGCAATTTGTCTAATTTTAAATATTACTTTCCGAATTTGGTATTTTTTCACGTATTTTTTTTTTTTTGCTTTTTTTGCGTGTTGGAGACAGCTCTGTTAAAGATGCCGGCCAAGTTTGTATGCATGTATGTGCATATCCATAGATGAAACCGTGGGTGGTGTTTTTTTTTCGTTTTTTTCTTCGCAAAACTACTAATTACTGCAATATTAAATTTAATTGTTACGGCAATAAGTGAAGCATAACATGCGCGTGCGTACTATGAACTCATGTTATTTTGGCGCAGTATATAGTCGTCTGTGCGAGTAGAAGCAACAGATGTTCAACGAAAATGAAACTCAATGCTAAAAAAAAATTATCTAAATTTGGCTGCATGCACACTCCAGCAGACCGATTTGGTATGTATGCATGTTTTTTTTATTTATTTATTTATATACAAACATGTATAAATACGAATATGAGCATCTTTAATAAACAATTTATTTATTTAAAAGTTAATTAAACATGCCAAATGTAATAAAATGTTAGGGACATGAGGGTGGCACAAAAAAGAATTTTACTATGTCAAAGCAAACATAAATAAAAGCGAAAAAATTGTTAATTTTTTAAATTTTATTAATTTATTCAACTTTGCTTTGTTTAATTTTATTTCATATATTTTTAATGTACTCTAATTTATATTTTATAGTTCTTTTAATCTAGTTATATTAGGTCAAGTAAAACGTTTTTTTATATTTTTTATATTATTTATATTTTTTAATATTTTATATATTATTTTAATCTTTTTTTATATTTTTTTTTATATTTTTTTATATTTTTTTTATATTTTTTTTATATTTTTTTTTATATTTTTTTTATATTTTTTTTTATATTTTTTCTTATATTTTTTTTTATATTTTTTTTTTTTATATTTTTTTATATTTTTTAATATTTTTTTTATATTTTTTTTTTAATATTTTTTTAATATTTTTTTACATTTTTTTAATATTTTTTTACATTTTTTTAATATTTTTTTTTAAATTTTTTTAATATTTTTTTTTAAATTTTTTTAATATTTTTTTTTAATTTTTTTTTTATATTTTTTAATATTTTTTTAAATTTTTTTAATATTTTTTTTTATATTTTTTTTATATTTTTTTTTATATTTTTTTTAATTTTTTTTTTAATATTTTTTTACATTTTTTTAATATTTTTTTAGTATTTTGCATTTTTTTATAAGCTTCATTTTTTAATACTTATTTATATTTTTTTTTAAATTTTTCATATTTTTTGATAATTTGTATTTTTTTTATTTTTATTATTTTTTTTGATTTTTTATATTTCTATAATTTTAGGTTTTTTAGTAATCTTTTTATATTATATATTTTTTAAATTTTATATTTTTTATATTTCATATTTCATATTTTTTATATTTTAATTATGTTTTTTTTTATATTCTTTTATATTTTTTTATATTTTATACTTTTTTATATTTTTTATTTTTCTATATTTTTTTAAATTTTATATATTTTTTTAAATTTTATATATTTTTTTAAATTTTATATATTTTTTTAAATTTTATATATTTTTTTATAGTTTTTATATTTTTTTATAGTTTTTATATTTTTTTATATTTTTTATAATTTTTTACATTTTTTTATATTTTCTTTTAGTATTTTGCATTTTTTATAAAACTTTTAAAAACTTATTTAAATTTTTTTAATTTTTCATATTTTTTGATTATTTGTATTTTTTATTTTTATTATTTTTTTGATTTTTTATATTTTTTTATATTTCTATAAAAAGCATAAGCTTTTTATCAATTTTTTTGTATTATATATTTTTTATATTTTATATTTTTTTATATTTTTTTAACTCTTTATATATTTTTATATTTTTAATATATTTTAATATTTTTTATACATTTATACATTTTTATATATTTTTTATATTTTTACATTTTAACATTTATTAAATTTTTTTATATATTATATTTGAATTAGAGTTTTTGGGCTTTATTTAGTTTTTTATTTTAACTTAGTTTATTTATTTTTCAGTTTGTATGTTATTTTATTTATTTAATTTTTTAAGTGTTTTCATTTACTCTTAATTTTTACCTTTAAATTTATACTAATGTTTTTTTTCTAATTTTTGTATATATTTTTCTCAAATTTTTATACATTTTGTTGTTTATTTTGTTTAATTGTTATTAATGCAAATTTATGCTCTTTAAACTATGTATGAATATTTCTCACCTGAGTGCAGATTTTTACTTATGTATATGGCAAGCCTTGTTAATTAATATTTAAGAATACGGTAGACAGCTACCAAGAGAAAGTATAAAATACAAAATAACACGGAAATATTGCTTTCCGCCTCACAAACTTCGCTTCTTATGCGACAGGAAAATGTTTGCGGCAAAGGCATGCCAAGCGGCCTCCTTTGGCTGTGGGCTGTGCAAGTCTATTTTAAACGCATTCACAACGTTGGATAGAAACAAAAAAAAAAGAATTCAACGGTAAAATATTTAATTTTAAGATTTATAAATGTGTATGTATGCAATCGTAGGCAACAGTTGCTATACGACAACCGAATGCATATGGGTTGCGCGAGAATGTGTCATGCAGGCAGGATGCATATCAGCACAGCATGCCACATGCCGCATGCCGCATGCCACCAAATAACGAAAACTCAATTCCCAATGTTGATTACTATTGCCTCCCGTTGCAGCAATGTGCAACGTGTGGCGTGCAACGTACCGCGTATTTTTCTTTTCTTTTTTTTGTTTCTTCAAAAATCTAACAACAAAAATAGACACAACAAACAAATGAGAACAACATCACTAAATAACAGCCGAAGTATGCGTCAGCACTTTCACGAGCAATATCAAGAGAACAATGAACTTTACCGTACGTCAGTCAGCCAACTCGAGGCTAGGCCGAACGAGCAGCGACCGGCAAACCAACGCTACGCAAAACAAATCGACTAAGTGCATGCTGACATTTTGGAATGAGGAAGAACCTGAATGGGCAAATAGGAAGTTAGCGGTGGAAGGTATTTATATACATACATACATATATCTAAATACTACAGCATACGTGTATGTATGTATGTATGTATCTATGAAAAATGAAAATCGAAGCAATTGTAGAATGTTTTTGAATAGAAGTTGACAATTAGGTGGTCATAACTCAACAATGTGACAATAGTGGGCATACAAATATAAATACTTGTGAAACAATAGAGATACACATAACTGACTAAAAACTAGTCTAGGAGTGCCACACTAAATCCCACAATTTTGCTATATTTATATCCTCACTGTTGTCAACCTTAATTTCATGTCATAACAGCCACAGATACATATGCACATATGTATGTACATATAATGAAACTGTCTTTATGTGAATTATATATATAAATATATCCGAAAAATATGATATGAAACAAAATGAGAAAGAAGACGCACAACTCTGTTTGCTGAACACCATCGAAATTCGCTGACAAATTCAACTTCAAAATCGACCAGTTATTTCAATAATTTTTCAATACATACGCATGTTTGTATGTCAATACGCGCGCAGTTGTCTATTTGTTTTTCAGCCATTGCTTGATTAACCAGGCCATCTGTTGGCCAGTGAATATTGCTGGAAATATATATGTATATATACATACATATATACACACACAAACATTTATACATACGGGCAGAGTAAACGATATCAATACGGAATGTTGCTGGAATGTTCTAAAACAGGTTCGCATTAAACAAAAGTAAAGAAAGCGTAGAAAGAGTATGTCACTGTCGAAAAAAGTAATAATCAATAATCAGACCTGTTAATCGCACTACGCAACATATTTGCTGACAAAACCGAAATATCGTAACTTAAAGTGACCTTGAAATCTCAAGAAAATCATCACAGCAGTCCACTAAACTGTAAATTAAAGTTACCTCTTGACCTAAACGAGGTTAGGTCGTCGAGAGGGCGACAGCCCTTTGGTCAGATAAAATTCGGGTAAACTCCGGTACGTAAAACTGGCTGTCTCGAGAGTTGGCACCTAGGCACAACTTAGGTCTGTATATTGTACCAGGTTAAACTCCTATTCGACCCCAGCATATCCAACGTACGCCCTGCATGTGCAGAGTCTCCGGACGACACTAACCACCGCTTCACATGCCCCCTTAAACCGACTCATCTAACCCCCCTCTCCCTTTTGTCCGATCCCGTCGAAACAGCACGTGTCCTGAACCTCCCACTAGCTGAACACGGCGAATTACGATTGATCAAACCTGTACCTAAGCGTGGTTAGAGAACTGCTACAACAACAATAACAATAACAACTAAACAGTAAATACCCTTACGGGTTTAAGGTGGTAGTCTCCCTTAGAACCCCAAAAATGTGTTTTTTCAGCAAATTTTTTGAAAAGGAAGAAAACTAGTAAGGTAAACGAAGCTTCCAGACAATGTTGTACACCCCCTGCGGGTTAGGGGCTCAAGAATTTACCCGCGGTAAGGCATGCCTGTCGTAAGAGGCGACTAAAATCCAATAGTTCCCGCGACAGTCGGGTCTTTATACCGGAACGACCCGGATTTTTATCCGGCCAAGGACTGTCACTCCCGCAACATTCCCCAAAAAGTACTTTGGGGAATAATTTTGCGGTTACAACAACAACAACAGCAACAACAACAATGTTGTACAATATTTAAACTTAAATAAAAAATTTTTTTATATAAAAAAATATTGGAATTTTCC